TGTCATTTTTACGTCAAAAAAATAGTATTTTTACTCCAATATAAACCCCCCAAATTTCGCGACAAAAGCTCTTACCAATCAAAACTTAAAGGGGGGGGGGGGGCGACGGACTTTTGGTCCTCACTGTATAAAAGTGTCAAAAGCGAGCAAACATTTTTTACCTACTGTTAACATTCGTTATAAATAATGACAAGTTTGAAAAGATGGTCTAAAAATTAGTCGATATGGACATTAAATTTTCCTAAATTCGTTCTGGTTTAATTATAAAAAAAATGTATAATTAAGTTGCAAAAAAGTCATACGTTATAAATGTGTAATTTTTATATCACTATCTAATAAATTTAAAATGGGAGGAGGTAACAGTAATGGTTGACGCTCTGAAATTTTGATAATTAAACGTTCATTTCAAAATTTTTTCTCGTTTTTTTTTTTGGTTTTTTTAATGTTTTTTTGTCAATAATAAAAATATGACATTAATTTAAAGGCTCTACCTACTAACGAGATTTTGAGTTGTTAAAATCGACAATTAATTGTCGGAGCTTTTATTTAAATAAAAATAAATTTATATCTCAAATAAGCCTGTTCTTATTTTAAATATTTCTATTTAACATTTTTTTTTAACAGGAGTCCATATGTGGCATTTTATAAATGACACACAGTGTATAAATTGATGTATTTTAGTATGCGATATATGGGATTCCTGGAGAGTTCTAAATATTTGTGGAACCATTTAAAACGATCCAGAATGAATTAGAACAGTTTAGGATCATTTAGAACGCTTCAGGACGATTAAGAACGGTATAGAATTATTGAGAACTGTTTTGAACAATTTAGAACGGTCCAGAATCATTTAGAACGCTCCGCATTTTATATCCCACAATCTAAACATGAAATAAATAAATAAATAAATAAATAAATACAGATAATATAGGATTTTGGAGAGTTCCAAATGATTCTAGACAGTTCTAAATGTTTTTGGAACTATTTTAAACGCTACATAATCATTAAGAACTGTCTAGAATCATTTTGGACAAATATGGAAAGAAACGAAAAAACAAGAAAAAACATGAAAAAAAGAGAAAAACTTGCAAAAATGGCAAATTATGAAAAAGGCGAAAAAACATGGAGAAAGTGGTAAAATATGGAAAAAATTACAAAAATATGGAAAAAGTGACAAAAATATGGAAAAATCGACAAAAAGATGGAAAAAATAGAAAAAATGGCAAATCATGAAAAATGCGAAAAAAACATGGAGAGAGTGGGAAAATATGGAATTAGTGACAAAACATGAAAAAAGTGGGAAAAAGAGGAAAAATTGGCAAAATGGCAAGTTATGAAAAATGCAACAAAACATGGAGAAGGTGGAAAAATATGGAAAAATTGACAAAACATGGACTAAGTGGAAACCATGGAAAAAGTGACAAATCATGAAAAAAGTGGAAAAAAGAGGAAAAATTGGCAAAATGGCAAGTTATAAAAAATGCAACAAAACATGGAGAAGGTGGAAAAATACGGAAAAAGTGACAAAACATGGACTAAGTGGAAACCATGGAAAAAGTGACAAATCATGAAAAAAAGTGGAAAAAAGAGGAAAAATTGGCAAAATGGCAAGTTATAAAAAATGCAACAAAACATGGAGAAGGTGGAAAAATACGGAAAAATTGACAAAACATGGACTAAGTGGAAACCATGGAAAAAGTGACAAATCATGAAAAAAGTTGGAAAAAGAGGAAAAATTGGCAAAATGGCAAGTTATAAAAAATGCAACAAAACATGAAGAAGGTGGAAAAATACGGAAAAAGTGACAAAACATGAAGAAGGTGATAAAACATGGACAAAGTGGAAAGCAATAATTGAAAAGTGGCCAAACAAGGACAAAGTGGAAAAACAAGGACAAAGTAGAAAAAGAAGGAAACAGTGACAAATCATTAAAAAAGTGGAAAGAGGAAAAAATTGACAAAATGGAAAGTATGAAAAATGCGACAAAACATGGAGAAAGTGGAAAAATATATAAAAGGTGGCAAAACATGGAGAAAGTGGAAAAATATAAAAAAAGGTGACAAAACATGGAAAAGGTGGCAAACCATGGAAAACGTGGAGAAACATGGAAAAAAGTGGAAAACATGGAAAAAATGAGAGGACATGGCAAAAAGTGGAGAAACAGGGAAAACGTAAAAAATGTGGAAAAACATGAAAAAAGTGAAAAACCACGGAAAAAAATAAAAATCGTAGAAAAAAAATGAAAAAAAAATAATAAAAAAAACGGATGAAGTGGAAAAAACAGAAAAACATGAAAACAGTGGAAATAAACGTAAAAAAAATGAAATGCCACGGCCATAACACCGTCTCCCAGCACCCAATTACTCGAAATAAACAACAACAAAATAAATTACAAATAACCTTTAAAAAAAATAAAAAAGAAGAAGAAGATCCTTACCTAATACTGTTATCGGAACTACCGCTGACGACCAAACGATCTCTATATTGTAAACAGGCGATGCCGCGTTTGTGACCGCTCAACGTTCGCACGAATTCACATGATGATGTGTTCCACACTTTTATAGTCCGATCGCCCGAAGCGCTCACAATGTATTTCTCATCGAAATCGACTACGTTTACGGCTGCTCGATGACCGACCAATACTCGACGTAATGATATTTCCGTTTCTGATACCATGTCCCATACGGCTATCGAACGATCCTATATATTGAAAAAAAAATTATTAAATTTATTCAGATATTTTGGAAAGATTGAAAAAAAAAAGTGGAAAAATGTGAAAAAAAATTAAAAAAACATGGAACAACATGAAAAAAATGGAAAAATATGAAAAAAAAAAAATGGACAAATACGGTAAAAATGGTAAAACATGAAAAAAATGGAAAAACGAAAAAAATTAAAGAACATCAAAAAAAAAAGTAATATAGTGGAAAAACATGAAAAACGCAACGAAACATGGAAAAAGCGAAAAAATGTGAAAAAAGTGGAAAATGTGGAAAAACATGAAAAATGCGACGAAACATGGAGAAAGTGGAAAAACATGAAAAAAATGGAAAAACATAAAAAAATCGACAAAAACAGAGAAAGTGGAAAAACATGGAGAAAATAGAAAAATCATGAAAAAAGTGCAACAATGAAAAAACATGAAAAAAATTGAAACAATGGAAAAACATGAAAAATCACGGAAAGAGTGCAAAAAGTTAAAAAACATTAAAAAAAAGGAAAAACATGAAACAAATGGAGAAACATGAAAAATGCAACAAAACATGGAATAAGTGGAAAAACATGGTGACAATGGGAAAAGAACAAAAAAAAAACATGAAAAAAAAAATTGAAAAATATGAAAAAAGTAGAGAATCATTAAAAATATGAACATGGACATGGTTTTCGATACCACGTCCCATACGGCTATCGAACGATCCTATGAATACAAATCGACAATATAGTATATATTGAAAAAAAATTCATTAAATTTATTCAGATATTTTGGAAAGAGTTTAAAAAAAATGTGGAAAAATGTGAGAAATGCGAGGAAATATGGAGAAAACAGAAAAAAGTGGAAAAATACGGTAAAAATTGTAAAACATGAAAAAAACTAGAAAAACATGAAAAATATGGAAAAATATGAAAAAAATGGAAAAACATGAAAAAATGGAAAAACGAAAAAAATGAAAGAACATCAAAAAAAAAGTAAAATAGTGGAAAAACATGGAAAAAGTGAAAAAAGTGGAAAATGTGGAAAAACATGAAAAATGCGACGAAACATGGAGAAAGTGGAAAAACACGGAGAAAATAGAAAAATCATGAAAAAGTGCAACAATGAAAAACATTGAAAGAATGGAAAAACATGAAAGAAAATGAAAAATCATGGAAAGAGTGTAAAAAGTTTAAAAACATTAAAAAAAAGGAAAAACATGAAAAATGCGACAAAACATAGAATAAGTGGAAAAACATGGAGACAATGGGAAAAGAACAGAAAAAAAACATGAAAAAAAAAAATTGAAAAACATGAAAAAAGTAAAGAAACATGAAAAATATGGAAAAATATGAAAAAATGGAAAAACATGAAAAAAATGGAAAAACGAAAAAAATGAAAACATCAAAAAAAGCAAAATAGTGGAAAAACATGAAAAATGCGACGAAACATGGAGAAAGTGGAAAAACATGAAAAAAATAGAAAAACATAAAAAATGCGACAAAACATAGAGAAAGTGGAAAAACATGGAGAAAATAGAAAAATCATGAAAAAAGTGCAACAATGAAAAAACATGAAAAAAATTAAAAGAATGGAAAAACATGAAAAAAATTAAAAATCATGGAAAGAGTGCAAAAAGTTAAAAAAACATTAAAAAAGGAAAAACATGAAACAAATGGAAAAACATGAAAAATGCGACAATACATAGAATAAGTGGAAAAACATGAAGACAATGGGAAAAGAACAAAAAAAAAAAACATGAAAAAAAAAAAGTTGAAAAACAAAAAAGTAGAGAAACATTAAAAATATGAACATGGACATGGTTTTCGATACCACGTCCCATACGGCTATCGAACGGTTCTGTATGTGGGCAATAAGAAAAATAAATTAATTAATTGAGATATTGAAAAGCTTGGAAAAAGGAAAAAATGTGAAAAATGCGACGAAACACGGAGAAAGTGGAAAAACATGAAAAATATGGAAAAACATGAAAAAAACGGAAAAACAAGAAAAAATTGGAAAAATATGGTAAAAATGGATAAACATAAAAATGGCAAAAACACAAAAAAATGGAAAAGCATGAAAAATGCGACAAAACATGGAGAAAGTAAAAAACATGAAAACAAAAAACTGATCCTATATGGACGATAAAAAACAAATAAATTGATTGAGATCAGGGTTGGCAGATACAGGCTTTTTTACACCTAGGTGTTTAAGGTTTTTTAAGTGAAAATTCAGCGTGAAAAAACATAAAAACTAAGACAAATCATAGAGGAAGTGAAAAACTTGAAAAAGTTGACATGCGAAAAGGTGGAAAAGATGGAAAAATTAAAGAAGAAGCATAAAAAAAAAAGTGAAAAAATATGGAAAAAGAATAAAAACATGCTTAAATTAAAAAACTTGGAAAAAAGTGAAAGAACGTGAAAAAAAAAAATGTAAAAAATGGAAAATAATGAAAAAAAGAGATAAACCGTGGAAAAACATGAATATGAATAATTTTAATGTATTTTCCTTTTAGTAACGCCTTTAGTAATTCGTAAAAACGGGTTGCAAATAAGAAATAAATTTGTTTATTTAGCACTCTTTTACTATCACGCGTATTATTAAAAAGATACGTGTGGGAACAAACGAGTGCTAGAATCATTATTAGAACTGTTTAAAATCATTTAGAACAGGTTCCAAACTATTGGAGACTGTCCAGGATCGTTTAGAACCATTTTAAAACCGACTAGAAGCATCAAAAACAGTTCAAAGCAATTCTAGAATCATTTAGAACAGGTTCAAGATTATTTGGAACGGTCCATGATACACTAGAACGCTCCATAACGATGCCTACTATTCTTATACTATTCACCGTACTATTCATATGAGACAAGCTCATCAGTTGGGAAGATTGTAGTAGTAGTAGAAAAAAATAGTTATACATAAAAATTAATTTAAAAATGTGTGAAAATAGAGCTTAAAATGCAATAAAATTACTGAAAATTTACGTAAAAATTCTCCAAAAGTTGGTCAAAAAATGCGTTAAAAATACGCAAATATTAGCAGAAATTTGGTCAGAAAAGTGTGAAAAATTGGACAAAAGTTTGGTTGAATAATTCGCAAAAATGCGTTTAAAAATGGGTGAAAATTAAACTAACAATGCGCGCAAAAAGTTCGAAATTAGAGCTGAAAATGCATTTAGCAAAAACTTAGCGCAAAAACCTTAGGCAAAAATGTAGCGAAAAAAGTATTAAAAAAAAGTGAACAAAAATTGGGTTAAAAAATACGCAAAAATTTGTTAAAAATATCCTAAAAATGCGCTAAAAATAGTTGAAAATAAACTAAAAATGCGCGCCAAAAAGTACGAATATAGAGCTGAAAATGCAATAAAATTGACTCAAAATTTGCGTAAAAATTGGGCAAAAGTTGGTAAAAATATGCGTTAAAAATGCGCTTAATTAGCAAAAATTTGGTCAAAAAAGTGTGAAAAAGTGGACAAAAATTGAGTTGAAAAGTGCACAAAAATGCGCTGAAAATAAATCTAAAATCCCAATATAATTAGCATAAAAATGGACGGAAATTGCGCTAAAAATGTGGTGAGAATTCGCTAAAATAACGCAAATGGTGTTGAACAAATTTACCAAAAATTGGATTAAAAAAATGCGCTAAAAAAGTACGAAAATTGAGCTAAAAATGCATCAAAATTACTCAAAATTCTCGTAAAATTTGGCCAAAAGTTGATAAAAAATAAGCGTTGAAAACGCAAAAATTTGGTCAAAAAAGTGTAAAGAAGTGGACAAAAATTGGGTTAAAAACTGTCCTAAAAAAGCGCTAAAAAAAGTACGAAAATAGAGCTAAAAAATACAATAAAATGTACTCAAAATTCGCGTAAAAATTGTCCAAAAATTGGCAAAATAAAAAATGCACAAATAAAATGTAATAAATAATCACAGCACCTTTGAACAAGTGACCATCATTCCATTGTTAAATCTGAGATGCAAAACGGCTTCGCAGTGATGTATTAAAGTTGTTGCCATTTCTCCAGAATTTACGTTCCACACTCTTACAGTCGAATCGCTCGAACCGCTTATAATCACCTAAAAAAAATTATACAAAAATATTAAATAAATAAATAAATTAATACAAAATTATTTATCATTTAAAATACAACACTAACTATATCTATCAGAAACTTATCAAATCGTTTCGTAAAAACCTAACCGAATAACTGACTTATACGAGGCATCTACGAGGGTAGAGCAAAAAGTTCTCGGCCTAGTTGATCACCAAAACTTATCGTTTCCGCTTTTTGGGACATTTGTAATTGATTTCTAAAACTGTCTAGAACCATTTAGAACGCTCCGTTGTCATTTAGAACTGTTTAGAATCATTTAGAAATGATAAAAACCGTTTAGAACGCTTCAGAACCATTTAGAACTGTTTAGATTCATTTAGAACGCTCCAAGACCATTAGGAATTGTCTAGAACCACTTAGGACGCTCCATAGTAATTTAGAACTGTCTAGAATCATTTAGAACTGTCTAGAATCATTTACAACGAACCAAAATAATTTAGAACCGTCTTGAACTAAACATTTCGACAGAACAAGAAGAACACCGTAATTTTCCAAACGAAAAAAACCCGGACATTTCTTCGTCGGATCCAGAGAACTTTTTACTATACCCTCGTACATCCAAATCAAAGCCAAACCAAGCCAATCAATTACTTTATCTTAATCTACTCTAATTTGCTCTGAACCTGTTCCTGAACGCCCTCTGAATCTACAATAATCTACTCTACTCCACTCCTATTCTACTCTATTCTACTCTACTTTACTCCGAGTCTATTCTACTCTGAGTTTTCTCTACTTTTAGTATACTGAACTGAATCTAGTCAACTCTGAATCTACTATACACTACTCTACACTGAATCTACTCGCATTCTACACTCAATTTACTCTGCACTTCACTACACTGAATCTAATCTACACTACATTACACTGACTCTACTCGCATTCTACACTTAATCTACTCTACTACACTGAATCTACTTTACTCTGTACTGAATCTACTCTACACTACACTGACTCTACCCGCATACTACACTGAATCTACTCTACTCCTACTCTACTTCTACACTACTCCTACTCTACTCTTACTCTACTCTACACTAAATCTACTGTACTCTGAATCTAGTCCACTCTAAATTTACTCTATTCTACTCTATTCTACTCTACTCTGAATATACTCTACTCTACTCTACTCTACTCTACTCTACTCTACTCTGAATCTACTCTATTCTGAATCTACTCTATTCTGAATCTACTCTACTCTACACTACACTGAATATACTCTACACTACACTAAATCTACTTTACTCTACACTACACTAAATCTACTTTACTCTACACTGAATCTACTCTACTCTACACTGAATCTACTCTACACTACACTGAATCTAATCTACACTACATTAAATCTACTTTATTCTACACTGAATCTACTCTACACTACATTACACTGACTCTACTCGTATTCTACACTAAATCTACTTTACTCTGCACAGAATAAATTCTACTATACACGAATTCTACTCTACTCTACTCCTACTCTACTTCTACACTACTCCTACTCTACTCTTACCCTACACTAAATCTACTCTACTCTGAATCTACTCTACTCTGAATCAACTCTTCTCTGAATCTAGTCAACTCTGAATCTAGTCAACTCTGAATCTAGTCAACTCTGAATCTACTCTACTCTGCATCTACTCTACTCTACTCTGCATCTACTCTACTCTACTCTACTCTACTCTGCATCTACTCTACTCTACTCTACTCTACTCTACTCTGACTCTACTCAGACTCTACTCTGACTCTACTCTGACTCTACTCTGACTCTACTCTGACTCTCTGACCAACCAAACCAACCAAATATCAACCAATCAATCAACCAACCAATCAACCAATCAATCAATCAACCAATCAATCAATCAATCAATCAATCAATCAATCAACCAATCAATCGATCAATCAATCAGACAATCAATCAATCAAATCAAGCGATCAATTACTTTACAAGCCAATCAAATGGAAAAAAAAAAAAAAAAAAAAAAAAAAAAAAAAAAAAAAAAAAAAAAAAAAAAAAACAATCATCTTACTTTATCGTCGTATTGCAAACACAAAACGCTGCCCGTATGACCGATCAACACTTTGGTGCATTGCAACGTGCTCCTGTCCCATATTTTGATCGTGTTGTCCCTCAAACCCGAAACGATCTTTTGATCGTCGTACTGCAAGCAATAAACGCCTTTGCTGTTCTCCGATCGACAATTGATCCGTTGAAGGACGTGTTTGCCGTTACGCCAATTCGATTCGATGCTGCCGATGTCGCGGATGATTTTGGGAAAGAGGCCTCGATAGAAGCCGTGCGGACGGTGGTTTTCGCCCGGTCGTGGTTTGAACAGGTATTGGATCCTATAAAAGAGAGAGAGAATAGATGGAGGAATTATATCATAAGATTTAGTGACTTTTTTTCGAAATCTAGTAATATTACAGGAATTTAGTAAAATTACCAGAATTAGTAACATTTTTAAAATCTAGTAATATAACCAGAATTTAGTAAAATCCCCAGATTTTGGGAAAGAGGCCACGATAGAAGCCGTGAGGACGGTGGTTTTCGCCCGGTCGGGGTTTGAACAGGTATTGGATCCTATAAGAGAGAGAATAGATAGAGGAATTATATCATAAGATTTATCCCCAGAATTTAGTAAAATCACCAGGTGGTTTAGTGACTTTTTCAAAATCTAGTAATATCCCCAGAATTTAGTAAAATCCACGGTCGTATATTTCTATAAGGTCTTGCCATTTAGCCGAATTTCCATGGTGACGGTCACGGTTTGTAAAATAATACGGTTACCTCACTTTGCTGGTAAAAGTGGGGGGGGGGGGGGAATACGTCACCAGTATGCTAGAGTTTGCTTGAGCCTACTAATCGTTACTAGGGCATGCAGAACCGGACACGGTTCCAGATTTTTGAGAACCGGGTCTGGAAAGCAGTTAGAACCGGTTCCCCCGGTTCTCCCGGTTCCGGCTGATAAAATTTAAGATTGTTTAAAGATTTGAATAAATCAGAGAGAATTGTTCAGGATAACCTAGGATTATCACTAAAAATATGAAAAATAGTTTATATTTGTGTAATCAACATATATTACAAGTTTTAGCTGCGCAGACGATTGCTAATTTTACCTGCTGACAAAAAATTTGCTCAGGCTCCACGCTTGTCGGTGGTATTGCTTTTAGGTAGTTATATGCTAGCTAAAGCTTTGTGCCACGACTACCAGCATTTTCAAAAAGAGTCAAAAAATCGTCATGCCATGATCTTGAAGTTTTGGAAATGAGATTAGTATATTTCCCGGAAGAACCGGGAACCGGGTTCACTCTTTCCGGAACCGGTTCTGCACATAGCTTAAAATAACCGGGTATACCCGGTTCTTCTGGAACCGGGTAGAACCGGGTGCATGCTCTAATCGTTACGAGTTTTCGTAGTTTTCTTCGTAGTTTTCTTTTGTTGTTTTTTGAAGTTTTTTGAGTTTTCGTGTTTTTTTTTATTGTGTTTAACTTCTTAGTAGTATATCAGACTATTCAGACTATTTTCAATAATTATAATTAGTTCTAAACATTATATATTTCTTTCATCGCGGAGAGTAAGTAAATATAAAAATTGTTACTATATGATTTGATATTCTTTTTTAATATTTTTCCAATATTCTATCGTAGAAATGACTGGAACAGTTTGTTATGTGGCTACTTGTTAAAGTAATAGTGAAAAGGCAAAAAAGAAAGGGGAATTAATAAGATTTTTTACTTTCCCCAAAAAAAAGGAAGTTTTGAAACAAATGGGTTCGTCTTTGTAGAAGGAAAAGTCCCTTTGATCCAAAAAATAAACGTATTTGCAGTAAACATTTTGCGCTGGATCAGTATTAAGACATGATTGAAGCTCAGATAATAAATACTATGCCAAAAAGACTCAAAGAAACAGGTAAGTTTGTCAATGAAATCTTTCTCTAAAAAAATTTTCTAAAAAAATGAAAAAAACAGTTACGTAAAGTTTTAATTTTTAATATTAATATAATCTCGTTTATTCATATTTATTCGTTTCATCTCATATCGTTTATTTATTATATATCTCGTTTATTAATATGTTTATAATGTTTATTTATATTTACTTTGATACAAATATATTTTGTCGTAATACTTTGTTTTATTCAAGAATTTAAGGCCCGAAATAACTATAATAATATGTACCGTTTAATGGATATACAAATAAACCATTTATCATTTAATTCAAAAAATACCCGTCTCCTTTTAAATTTTAATATATTTATGGAAAATATACTTTTATTAGTTATTATTCCTGTCCATTGTCTCAATTTTTATAATATTTTACCCTGTAAATATTATTAAAAACATTAATTTCATTACACTTGAGATGCTCGGAATTTGCCACTCGAATTCTTGTGACGTCACGAGAGGCCGTGCGTGATTGGCTAAAAAGTTACTGGATAACCTGGATAATTATTTTTTTACCGAGCAAAATGCATTTTTCAGCTGGGCCTAAATTCCCACGCATTTGCAAATACAGTTCTTATTTTGTATTGTTAATTGGAACATCCTACCTATCAACCAGTACAGATTTCGCAATTTAAGACCTAACTGCTTTCTCTTGTAAAAAATATGTTTCTTCCAGGTCATTCTTCTGTCCAAGTGGATACCAAGATAAAAACAATATTTAAATATTAAGCGTATAAATAATTTAACAGATTAACAGCCTTTTTCCACACACCCTGTATATATTTTAGATATTTTTTGGTCCCGCCTACTTTTAGCCCAAACTAGCTCCATCTCTCACGGACTTCTCTCTCTATCAGAGGTAACTTAATAGATATATGGTATTGAAAATATTTTTAAGGTTATCGAGGTTTATTGTTTATTTTGTGTTGAAATTGAACAAATAAAGATAGATTATCAAGATATTTTTGATGATGATTTGGAAATGTTGGAGAATCTAAATAAAACCACTCCCCATCCCTCAAATGGGAGGAGTGGCGGGTAACTTTAAAATTTAAATAGAAACCCCCATTCTTTATTGAAAATTAGGAAACCTGTCATCAAAATTAGCAAGTTTTCTTCGAAACATTTTACAAATTTATCAAGAAAAAAAATCTAGAATTTCGAAAATTATTTCAAACAGTCCTATAGCGACACAAAGGAGATATGTAGGATAGGAGGTAGTGGGAACGAGAGAGTAGAAGGGTACCAAGGGGTAGAAGAAGTAGTGGATGGGACAGAGAACGATAGATGACGAAAGTAAGTAGTAGAAGGAGGTAGAAGAAGTAGTGGATGGGACAGAGAACGATAGATGACGGAAGTAAGTAGTAGAAGGAGGTAGAAGAAGTAGTGGATGGGACAGAGAACGATAGATGACGAAAGTAAGTAGTAGAAGGAGGTAGAAGAAGTAGTGGATGGGACAGAGAACGATAGATGACGAAAGTAAGTAGTAGAAGAAGGTAGAAGAAGTAGTGGATGGGACAGAGAACGATAGATGACGGAAGTAAGTAGTAGAAGGAGGTAGAAGGAGTAGTGGATGGGACAGAGAACGATAGATGACGAAAGTAAGTAGTAGAAGGAGGTAGAAGGAGTAGTGGATGGGACAGAGAACGATAGATGACGAAAGTAAGTAGTAGAAGGAGGTAGAAGGAGTAGTGGATGGGACAGAGAACGATAGATGACGGAAGTAAGTAGTAGAAGGATGTAGAAGGAGTAGTGGAGGGACAGAGGTGGATATATGAAGGTAGTGAGTGGGGTAGAAGGGTATAGCAAATGGGGTAGAATTAGGGTGTAGAATAATACTGACCACATTCGACGTTCTGCTAATCCTCTCCATAACGAATCGGTTCTGACTTTGCGTTCGATCAATTTCTTCCACAGCATACCTTCGGAGATCACTCTGAACCATTCTTTGCACACTAATTCGGCATTTCTGAGACTATCTGCGTCCAAATAGGATAGGATGTTTTCGGCCACGTGATCCAAACCTTTCTCTGTTTTTAAACACAAACAAAACGACAATGATATTAATTGCGTTGTTGCTAATTATACAGTGAGGACCAAAAGTCCGTCGCCCCCACCCTTTAAGTTTTGATTGGTTAGAGCTTTTGTAGCGCAATTTGGGGTGTTTATATTGGAGTAAAAATACTATTTTTTGACGTAAAAATGATAGTTGAAACTTTTAAAATGACAGTTAGGCGCCATTTTGAATCTTTTTTTCTTATGAAAAGGGGGGTCAAGTGACACCTCGTTTTAAAGGTAATTTCATTCTTAAGTCAAACCACAAATTTGAAAACATTTTAATAACGCGTATTCACGTGAAGATCAATTTAGTTTTAACCCCCGGGCATATTGATATATTTAAAAATTCATTCTGAACGTACTATAAAATGTGTTAATTAATTGTTGCTATGGTTTCTTTGCTCTGACATTTATTTGTCAAATTTAAAGTTGATGAAAGTGACAATCGCTCGTCCTTTAAACGAAAAAACTGTCAATTTCATCAAATTTAAATTTGACAAATAAATGTCATAGTCAAGAAACCATAGCAATAATTAATTAACACATTTTATAGTACGTTCAGAATTAATTCATAAATGTATCAATATGCTCGGGGGTTAAAACTAAATTGATCTTCACGTGAATACGCGTTATTAAAATCTTTTCAAATTTGTAGGTTGACTTAAGAATGAAATTACCTTTATAACGAGGTGTCACTTGACCCCCCTTTCCATAAGAAAAAAAGATTAAAAATGGCGCCTAACTGCCATTTTGAAAGTTTCAACTGTCATTTATACGTCAAAAAAATAGTATTTTTACTCCAATATAAACACCCCAAATTTCGCGACCAAAAGCTCTTACCATTCAAAAGTTAAAGGGGGGGGGGCGATGGACTTTTGGTTCTCACTGTAGAAATGAAGGTAAATCAGCAGATTTAGTGACTGTATCAAATATTACCAGAATCTGGTAATATTATCAGAATATAGTAAAATCACTAGATTTAGTGACTTTTTGAAAAGACCAGAATGGGTAGTTCAAGTTGAAATTTTACTACCCCTTTTTGTTACATTATTTGAATAAAAAGTACATTTCTTTTTAATAAAAAAATATGTTTTTTTTTCTAATATAGCATAAAAAATCGATACATAAAAATTTAAATAAAATCGAAACTCAATTATCAACGCCAATTCACAGTGAACGTCGTCTTTCATTTCACGAAGTTTTCATCACTATTTTCATCTTTATCCAATATTCATATAATACATTTCTCTATCTCTGTCAGTTAAAGTGACATTTGACAGTTGTAGATAAATGTTTTTCATCCGTATGTCTTTTCTTTACACTTTTGTAGTTAATATGGCTTGTCGCTAACTTCATTGCACAAAAGTGACGTCACGATCGTTATGGCGAACTATTCAAAAAATTTGAAATTTGAATTTTCAAATGATAATATTAAAAAAATGTAGCTCAAATTACGATATACAATTAAATTCAATGGCCCGCATTCAGCGCCTCACTTTAACTTTACAGTGACTCTAAAGTCGCGTTTCGAGCTCCTAGTTACTCCATAACAACCAATGTAAAAATGTTAAATGTTAAAGAATCTCCTTAGTTACTCCATAACAACCAATGTAAAAATGTTAAATATTAAAGAATCTCCTTAGTTACTCCATAACAACCAATGTAAAACTGTCAAATGGTAAAGAATCTTCTTAGTTACTCCATAACAACCAATGTTAAACTGTCAAATGTGAAAAAATCTCCTTAGTTACTCGATAACAATCAATGTAAAACTGTCAATTCGAAAGAATTTCCTTAGTTACTCCATAACAACCAATGTTAAACTGTCAATTTAAACAATGCGTCCTTAGTTACTCCATAACAACTAATGTAGAACTGTCAATTCGAAAGAATCTCCTTAGTTACTCCATAACAACCAATGTAAAAATGTTAAATGTTAAAGAATCTCCTTAGTTACTCCATAACAACCAATGTAAAACTGTCAAATGGTAAAGAATCTTCTTAGTTACTCCATAACAACCAATGCTAAACTGTCAAATGGTAAAGAATCTTCTTAGTTACTCCATAACAACCAATGTTAAACTGTCAAATGGTAAAGAATCTTCTTAGTTACTCCATAACAACCAATGTTAAACTGTCAAATGGTAAAGAATCTTCTTAGTTACTCCATAACAACCAATGCTAAACTGTCAAATGGTAAAGAATCTTCTTAGTTACTCCATAACAACCAATGTTAAACTGTCAAATGTTAAAGAATCTCCTTAGTTACTCCATAACAATAAATGTTAACCTGTCAAGTTGAAAGAATCTCCTTAATTACTCCATAACAACCAATGTAAAACTGTCAATTCGAAAGAATCTCCTTAGTTACTCGATAACAATCAATGTAAAACTGTCAATTCGAAAGAATTTCCTTAGTTACTCCATAACAACCAATGTAAAAATGTTAAATATTAAAGAATCTCCTTAGTTACTCCATAACAACCAATGTAAAAATGTCAAATGTGTAAGAATCTCCTTAGTTACATCATAATATGCAATCTAAAACTGTCAAATGTGAAAAAATTTCCTTAGTTACTTCATAACAACCAATGTAAAACTGTCAAAAGTCAAAGACGCGACTTTAGAGTCACTCTAAAATTAAAGTGAGGCGCTGAATACGGGCCAATGGGTTTTAACTAATTCTAGCTGTTAATAAAGCAAAATCTGAGAAAAAATTTTTGTTGCACACCCCATTTAGTAAAATCACCAGAAACTAGTAATATTACCAGAATTTAGTAAAATCGCCAGATTTAGTGACTTTTTCAAAACATAGTAATATCCCCAAAATTTAGTAAAATCAACAGATTTAGCAACTTTTTCAAAATATAGTCATATCCCCAGAATCTAGTACTATCCCCAAAAAATATAAATATAAAAACCCACCAGAATTTAGTAACTTTTTAAAATACAATAATATCCCCAAAAAAATAGTAAAATCAACAGATTTAGTAACTTTTTGAAAATCTAGTAATATCCCCAGAATCTAGTACTATCACCAGAATCTAGTACTATCCCCAAAATTTAGAAAAAACCACCAGAATTTAGTAACTTTTTAAAAAATAAAAAAAAATAAAAAAAAATAAAAAAAAAAAATTAAAAAAAATTAAAAATTAAAATAAAAAGTCACATTACTTGGCAATTGCGAGATGAAATCCCTTTGCAACATCGGCTTCAAATAGGAATCGATGTGACCGTGTTGATAGTGACACATCCGAGCCAAAAGATTTTCGACGAATTCCACCTGATCGGTTTCGCTCCATTTTTCGAAATATTTCAAACAAGCCTCGCGTTCCGCGTTGAATGTCGCCGACGGTTCTTTCTTGCGGGCCGTATCGTACGGTGGCGACAGTACAGTCATCTGGAACTATTTATTCCAATTAAAAAAAAATTATTTGAAATTTTTTTTTTTAAATTTCGATAAAAATGGGCTCCGCGGTTAAAATCGATTATAGAATCGATTACAATCTGTACGACAGGTATAAAGTGAGGACCCCCCCCCTGCCGTAAAAATGACAGTTGAAACTTTCAAAATGACAGTTAGGCGCCATTTTGAATATTTTTTTCTTATGGAAAGGGCGGTCAAGTGATACCTCGTTTTAAAGGTAATTTCATTTTTAAGTCAACCCCCAAATTTGAAAACATTTTAATAAAGCGTATTCACGTGAAGATCAATTTAGTTTTAACCCCCGGGCATATTGATACATTTATAAGAATTAATTCTGAACGTACTATAAAATGTGTCAATTAATTGTTGCTATGGTTTCTTTGCTCTAACATTTATTTGTCAAATTTAAAGTTGATGAAAATGACAATGGCTCGTCCTTTAAACGAAAAAACTGTCAATTTCATCAACTTTAAATTTGACAAATAAATGTCAGAGTCAAGAAACCATAGCAACAATTAATTAACACATTTTATAGTACGTTCAGAATTAATTTTTAAATGTATCAATATGCCAGAGGGTTAAAACTAAATTGGTCTTCACGTGAATACGCCTTATTAAAATGTTTTCAAATTTGGAGGTTGACTTAAGAATGAAATTACCTTTAAAACGATGTGTCACTTGAGCCCCCTTTCCATAAGAAAAAAAATTCAAAATGGCGCCTAACTGTCATTTTGAAAGTTTCAATTGTCATTTTTACGTCAAAAAATAGTATTTTTACTCCAATATAAACACCCCAAATTGGGCAACAAAAGCTCTTACTTTTGGTCCTCACTGTATGTACTTAAAATCTCTACTAAAGGGTGTGTTTGAAAAAGAAATGTATTATTCTATAATAATGTATAATGTATTATTCTGCATCAATGCATTATTCTGCTCTAAATATGCTCTAAATATGATCTGCTCTGCTCTGCTCTGCTGCTACTTTGGTCGGAATATACAATGCATGCACTGAATTAGATCTGTTTCACTCTAAATCTCCTCTGTTCTGCTCCACTCTGAATCCACCTTGTTCTAAATCTAATCTACTGTACTCTGAATTTAATCTACTATGCTTTGAATCCAGTAATGCTCTGCTCTGCTCTGAATCTACTCTGAATCTATTCTGAAAATATTCTTAATCTACTCGGCCATGTTGAATCTACTTTGTTTTGAATGTACTCTGCTCTAATTTGGTCTGAATATACACTGCACTGAATTTGATCTGTTCCACTCTGAATCTGCTCTGAATCTAACTTGTTCTAAATCTAATCTACTATGCTCTGCTCTGCTCCTCTCTGAATCTAGCCTGAACATGTTCTGAATCTACTCTGAATTAAATCTTAAATCTTAACCGTTTCAACAGACAATTGAATTAATCCGACGTTGCCACATCTACCAAAATTTCAATGGGTTCTGCGATTTTGCGTAACGCTTATATTTCTAATATTTATTCCTTCCTATATTTAGTAACGTTATAAACGAATAAAATTATCGTTATGCAAGGTTAGAAGTGAAACTTTTATTATTAACATCTTCTAGCCGATAATTCAGAAACAATTATAACTGTCTAGAATCATTTAGAACTATCTACTTAGAACCATTTACAACTGTCTTTAATCATTTAAAACGATCCAGAATAATTTAGAACTGTCTAGAACTGTTTAAAACTCTCCAGAATCATTTAGGAATTGTTTAGAATCATTTAGAACTCTATTAAACCATTTAGAACGCTCCAGAATAAACTGGAACTGTCTAGAACCATTTAAAACGCTCCAGAATCATTTAGGAATCGTTTAGAATCATTTAGAACTCTGTTAAACCATTTAGAACGCTCCAGAATAAACTGGAACTGTCTAGAACCATTTAAAACGCTCCAGAATCATTTAGGAATCGTTTAGAATCATTTAGAACTCTGTTAAACCATTTAGAAAGCTCCAGAATAAACTGGAACTGTCTAGAACCATTTAAAACGCTCCAGAATCATTTAGGAATCATTTAGAATCATTTAGAACTCTGTTAAACCATTTATAACGCTCCAGAATAAACTGGCACTGTTTAGAACCATTTAAAACGCTCTAAAATCATTTAGAACGTTTCAGAATCATTTAGAACTCTGTTAAACCATTTAGAACTCTCCAGAATAAACTGGCACTGTTTAGAACCATTTAAAACGCTCTAAAATCATTTAGAACGTTTCAGAATCATTTAGAACTCTGTTAAACCATTTAGAACTCTCCAGAATAAACTGGCACTGTTTAGAACCATTTAAAACGCTCTAAAATCATTTAGAACGTTTCAGAATCATTTAGAACTCTGTTAAACCATTTAGAACGCTCCAGAATAAACTGGAACTGTCTAGAACCATTTAAAACGCTCCAGAATCATTTAGGAATCGTTTAGAATCATTTAGAACTCTGTTAAACCATTTAGAAAGCTCCAGAATAAACTGGAACTGTCTAGAACCATTTAAAACGCTCCAGAATCATTTAGGAATCATTTAGAATCATTTAGAACTCTGTTAAACCATTTATAACGCTCCAGAATAAACTGGCACTGTTTAGAACCATTTAAAACGCTCTAAAATCATTTAGAACGTTTCAGAATCATTTAGAACTCTGTTAAACCATTTAGAACTCTCCAGAATAAACTGGCACTGTTTAGAACCATTTAAAACGCTCTAAAATCATTTAGAACGTTTCAGAATCATTTAGAACTCTGTTAAACCATTTAGAACTCTCCAGAATAAACTGGCACTGTTTAGAACCATTTAAAACGCTCTAAAATCATTTAGAACGTTTCAGAATCATTTAGAACTCTGTTAAACCATTTAGAACGCTCCAGAATAAACTGGAACTGTCTAGAACCATTTAAAACGCTCCAGAATCATTTAGGAATCGTTTAGAATCATTTAGAACTCTGTTAAACCATTTAGAAAGCTCCAGAATAAACTGGAACTGTCTAGAACCATTTAAAACGCTCCAGAATCATTTAGGAATCATTTAGAATCATTTAGAACTCTGTTAAACCATTTATAACGCTCCAGAATAAACTGGCACTGTTTAGAACCATTTAAAACGCTCTAAAATCATTTAGAACGTTTCAGAATCATTTAGAACTCTGTTAAACCATTTAGAACGCTCCAGAATAAACTGGCACTGTTTAGAACCATTTAAAACGCTCTAAAATCATTTAGAACGTTCCAGAATCATTTACAACTCTGTTAAACCATTTAGAACGCTCCAGAATAAACTGGAACTGTCTAGAATCATTTAAGACTGTCTTTAACCATTTAAAACGCTCCAGAATAACATAGAACTCTCCAGAATTATTTAGAAAGCTCCAGTATCAACTAGAACTGTCTAGAATCATTCAGAACTACCTAGAATCATTTAGAACTTATCTAGAACCAATCAGAACACTCCGGAATAACTTAGAACTATTCATAACCATTTAGAACGCTCCTACATATCAACTATACCAAAAAAAACTTCTCAATTTCTTTCAAAGTTTTCGCAACAAACTCGACTCGTTCAAAACAGCCAATTAAATTAATCCGACGTTGCCACATCCACTAAAATTTCAACGGGATTAGCGCTTTTGCGTAAAACGCTCGTAATATATTCCTTCCTGTATATTTAGCAACATTATAATATAAAAACGAATAAAATAATTATGATCGTTATGCAAGGTGAGAAGTGAAACTTTTATTTCATTTCCCATCATTTGAGTAATATTTTTATCTTCTATAACTTTTATTTAATTTTATTTATCGGTCGCATCGCGTTTGGGCAATCGGCCTGTTTTTTTTTTGTTTTTTTTTTTTTTTCGACGAATCGTTAATTAACCGTTCGTCATATTTTTAATTGGGCAATAAAAAATTGTTGTAGCGGCGATGAGTGTACGTTAGTACTAGTACTAGTATAATACTATAGAGGAAAAAAAAATCGGTGTCTTCGTACCAGTTAATATAATATAACAGTGTTTTAACGGTTAATGTTTACGAGAGAATATGGAAAGTTCATCGTCTCGTCAGGTGAAAATATACAGGGTGTCTCATAAGTTGATACTTTTTTTTTAACTCCGTATAGGTCTTTTAATTTTAAGCAACTTTTTCGAGTAATTTTTTGTTAATATTCTGGAAAATAAAAAAGATGGAAATTTTCAAAATTTCTTTAAATTTCGAATATTTTCCAATACGAAACTGGCATTACCATACATGTGTCAAAAAAAAGTAATAAATGACAATCAATCAAAATGGCGACAATTTTGAGCAGTTCTAACTTTTTAATGAACAGGGCCGTATTTACTAACTTTTTAATTAACTTTTTACATGCTCTTTTATTTTCCAGAATATTAAAAAATTTTACTTGAAAAAGTTGCTTAGAATTAAGATTTATACGGAGTTAAAAAAAAAAGTATCAACTTATGAGACATCCTGTATAGAGGGATGTTTCTGAATAAGTGATCAAACTTTGGGAGCAAGTAGAGAACCTCAAAATATGTCGAAAACTTAAATGTCATTGGTTATTAGTATACAGGGTGTTAAAGATGGATTCTTGAAGAGGTATTTTTATTAATAATTCTATTAATAGTAAATTTTTACTTAATGTAAATTAAAAAAAAATATCCAGGAGTGGGTTAAAATGGGGGGTTCGTGGGGTAATTCTAACCTAACTTTTTTATTTTTACCTTTTCTAATGATTTTTTTAAATAATATGAAAAAATGAAGTTTTCTACATAAAAAAGGTATACTTGTTGATTTTCCGTAAATCGAACCGTTTTCACGAAAAATGACTTTTAAAATTCTGAGACACAAAATTATTTCAAACTCACCTTGAAAAATCTAGTAAGAATGAATTCTTTCAAAAACTTGTTTTCGTCATATCTTAAGGTTCTCTGCTCACTTATTTCAGGAACACCCTGTATGGGTGTCATAAAATGGGCCAAAAGGTATTACCCCCTTTCGGATATGCACGATGTTTAGGAACACCCTGTATAAAAATGTACATTCCGATTAGTAACACCCCTAGTATTTCGTAGGGACGGGTTGCAAATAAGGAATAAATTTTTTATTTAGCACGAAATTAACAACGCAAATGCCACTAAATAAAGGTAATAGCGTGAACAAACACGTGCAATATTAACACTCTGTATAGTTTGTGCCACAGGTCTGGAGTTTCCAGACCTGTATGTAAGACCGTGCCATAGTTACTCCATAACAACCAATGTAAAACTGTCAAATGTTAAAGAATCTCCTTAGTTACTCCATAACAACCAATGTAAAACTGTCAAATGTTAAAGAATCTCCTTAGTTACTCCATAACAACCAATGTAAAACTGTCAAAATGAAATAATCTCCTTAGTTACTCCATAACAACCAATGTAAAACTGTCAAATGGTAAAGAATATCCTTAGTTACTCCATAACAACCAATGTAAAACTGTCAAAATGAAATAATCTCCTTAGTTACTCCATAACAACCAATGTAAAACTGTCAAATGGTAAAGAATCTTCTTAGTTACTGCATAACAACCAATGTAAAACTGTCAAAATGAAATAATTTCCTTAGTTACTCCATAACAACCAATGTAAAACTGTCAAATGTTAAAGAATCTTCTTAGTTACTGCATAACAACCAATGTAAAACTGTCAAAATGAAATAATTTCCTTAGTTACTCCATAACAACCAATGTAAAACTGTCAAATGTTAAAGAATCTTCTTAGTTACTCCATAACAACCAATGTAAAACTGTCAAATGTTAAAGAATCTTCTTAGTTACTGCATAACAACCAATGTAAAACTGTCAAAATGAAATAATTTCCTTAGTTACTCCATAACAACCAATGTAAAACTGTCAAATGGTAAAGAATCTTCTTAGTTACTGCATAACAACTAATGTAAAACTGTCAAATGTGAAAAAATCTCCTTAGTTACATCATAACAACCAATGTTAAACTGTCAATTCGAAAGAATCTCCTTAGTTACTCATAACAACCAATGTAAAACTGTCAAATGTGAAAAAATCTCCTTAGTTACTCCATAACAACCAATGTTAAACTGTCAATTCGAAATAATTTCCTTAGTTACTCCATAACAACCAATGTAAAACTTTCAAATGGTAAAGAATCTTCTTAGTTACTGCATAACAACTAATGTAAAACTGTCAAATGTGAAAAAATCTCCTTAGTTACTTCATAACAACCAATGTTAAACTGTCAATTCGAAAGAATCTCCTTAGTTACTCATAACAACCAATGTAAAACTGTCAAATGTGAAAAAATCTCCTTAGTTACTCCATAACAACCAATGTTAAACTGTCAATTCGAAATAATTTCCTTAGTTACTCCATAACAACCAATGTAAAAATGTCAAATGTTAAAGAATATCCTTAGTTACTCCATAACAACCAATGTAAAAATGTCAAATGGTAAAGAATCGTCTTAGTTACTCCATAACAACCAATGTAAAACTGTCAAATGGTAAAGAATCTTCTTAGTTACTGCATAACAACCAATGTAAAACTGTCAAATGTGAAAAAATCTCCTTAGTTACTCCATAACAACCAATGTAAATCTGTCAAATTGGCACGCTCGGACCGTTTAACCAGTCGATACGCCATTGTCTATACGGAATTACGCGAGAAAATTAAGCGAAAAAAGCCTCTATGAACTCCCTCTCTCTCTAGGTTTTCGTAATAGCGCAGAGACGGAATCTGGTTCTATCGTGTTGCAGCAAAAACGGGTTTAATAATAGAATTTAACACGTCGAACGTTAAGGAAAAACAACATCGGGATTTACATAACGTTTTCTTTTAGACGTGTATACAGGGTGTCCCACGACATGGTCGACTTATAAAAGCTAGTTAATTGGGAATAAAGCAGAAATGTAAGTGTTTCCATTTAAAAAAAATAAGAAATTCGATATTTTTGAAGTTCACCTTTTCACATGTTTTTGTACACACCCTGTATAAAATAAAAAGTTTTTTAACACAGATGGAAATACCTTTGACCTTACTAGTAGTTCCCCTACAAAAACCATTGCCATATCTTTAAGGGGATCCTCGTAAAAAAATAATTTATAAGGGTCTGCATCAGTGTCAAATTTTTCAAAAAAATAATTAACAACTCATAAAATATCCGTTTTTAAAAAAAGTTTTTCAGACAAAAGTACCCTAAAATTTGACGTAGATTTCGAAAATACATCAATATACAGGGCGTTCCGTTTGAAATAACAAAATTGACGCCTACTTCCGGTATATCCGGAAGTGGTACGACTGTCAAAATATTCTTAACAACTTCCTCTTATTTAATAACACGTGTATACCAAATTTTGTTCAAATCGAATAAGTAGTTTCCTATATACAGATAGTTTTGGAACTCGTCGTGGGACACCCTGTATAGACGCGCGATGCATTTATTTACATAAAAAATAAACAAACGAGAAACATCCGCGTATGCGATAATTTACGGGATCATTCGAAAGTGCCTTAAAGAAAATACCGAAACCGGAAGATAATTTCCACGACTCGGCAACGCCGCCTTACAAAAAAAAAAAAACCAACTCGTGACGTCACTATTAAATTAACATGAACCTACTATAAGTAAAAGTGGATTCAACTCGTTATTCTACTAAGCAATAAATACGATTTGCACCGTTGACTATGCCGTCAACTACGAGATAACTCGTAGTCGTTGCGTTCTTGTCTAGGACGTTTTTGAGAGTTTTTGAGCGAGTTTTTTTTTTTCAAAATTCCTTCAAAATTCCGAAACCGGAAGAAAATTTCCACGACTCGGCAACGCCGCGTTAAAACTCTTCTCGTGACGTCGTCGTTATTAAATTAACTTGAACCTATTATACAAGGGTAAGGTGAAAAGTTCACGGTCTGACAATGAAAGATCGCCATTTTCAATTAAAAAATGACATTGTTCTTCTTGTTAAGTCGATATGTTTAGTTCGAGACGGTTCTAAATGATTCTTGGGGCGTTCTAAATAGTTCTAAACGATTCTAGAGCGTTCTGAGCGACTGTGGAGTGTTCTAAATGGTCCGGAAGCGTTTTAAATGGTTCTAATTAGTTCTAAATGGTTCTAAAAAAAGATATAATGATTCTGGAGCGTACTAAATGGCCCTGAAACGTTCTAAATGATTCTAGAAAAGTTCTAAATGATTCTGGGCGTTCTAAATGATTTTAAACAACGTTCTAAATGGTTCTAGACAACGTTATAAATGGTTCTTGGGGCATTCTAAATGGTTCTGAAGCGTTCTAAATGGTTCTAAAAAAGTTCTAAATGATTCTGGGCGTTCTAAATGGTTTTAAACAACGTTCTAAATGGTTCTAAACAACGTTCTAAATGATTCTTGGGGCATTCTAAATGGTTCTGAAGCGTTCTAAATGGTTCTAAAAAAGTTCTAAATGATTCTGGAGCGTTCCAAATGGTTCTAGACAACGTTCTAAATGATTCTTGTGGCGTTCTAAATGGTTCTGAAACGTTCTAAATGGTTCTAGAGAGTTCTAAATGATTCTTGGGGGCGTTCTAAACGATTCTGGAGCCTTCTAAATGGTTTTGAACTGTTCTAAATTGCTCTAGACAGTTCTAAAATGATTCTTGGGACATTCTAATTAGTTCTGAAGCGTTCTAAATAGTTCTAAAAAAAGTTCTAAAGGATTCTGGAGAGTTCTAAATGGTCCTGAAACGTTCTAAATGGTTCTAAACAACGTTCTAAATGGATCTAGAAAGTTCTAAATGATTCTTGGAGCCTTCTAAATGGTTCTGAACTGTTCTACATGGTTTTAGACAGTTCTAAAATGATTCCGGCCAAGAACATCTCACTCATACTCTCGTAATTAAGGTGATTCATAAGCGTTATCCTCGTCATTCTACTAATGCAAGTACCAATAAAATACGATTTAAATAAATTTATTTCGTTCAAAGAAATAAATCTGCGAGCGACCTTTAAAAAGCGGACAATCGATATCCGAGATATTACAACAAATTCCGCGAACAAAGAAGAACAAAATAAAGTACGCAAGTACAAAGAGGAACGCGGAAATTGCAATTAATTAATTATTCCCGCGCACTCTCCGATTCGAAAAATATCGTAGGCGGCCTTTTCCTAAAGGAGTCCTCCGGTAACAATTTTTTTTTACTATAATTTCCGAGCGCGAACGAATCCGTCAAAATAACGGAAACTTTCTCTCGCGTTAACGTTCGCTACGAAATCGGCCACCATTTCGCCATTTCGTTAAACAATAACGCGAAATAAACTCATTCGAAATCGTCCATTAAAAAAAAAAAAACAACTCGTTACCATGACAACCGTTACGTCAAATCGACAGCGACTAACTAGATTTTTTTAACAAACACAATGACTAAAATACGCACCGTATAAATCCTTAAATTCGTTACCATGACAACCGTCACGTCAACGTCAATTTGACAGCGACTAACTAGATTTTTAACTAAACGCGCGCTGTAAATACACAAAACTATTCGTACTAATCTAAGAAAGTTGATAAGTTTCCCTCGATTTATTATGTGTTTCTTTTTGAGCGTAAATAGACGGTGGGGAAGTTCAAAAACCGGATAATCACATCAACACGTTCGACTGGAGCAGATAAGCGAAATTATACATTAATAACAAAATAAAAAAAAAAAAAACGTTACTTTCTACGAAATCCGCCGAAGAATTACGTGTAATTGCGATTCGTAAGCGAAATTGGGTAAATTAAAATAGGGAAAATGTAGGGCATACGGATGATAATATGACAGTTGACAGAACAAGAGAAAGAGCCTACTGGGATAATGGAAACGCTTACGTGAAATTCGCCCCGATCCGACCCGATTACGCGTTTCCATTGCGAAAATATTATTACATGTAGCAAACAGAAGCGACTCACTTGCAAATTGTTGGTCGTTGAATCGTCGATTTTATCGGTTTCCATCTTTATCATCGTCGAGAATTTTTGTCCAGCTCGAATGCGAATCGATCGCGATAGAGAAACGTACGCGCTAATTTCCTCAAAGTCCGAGGACCGTTCGCACTAATAACACATGTTGTTCGTTAAACTTTCTATTTTTTTTTTTTTTTCGTCGTTATTTACAACTAATTAACGGTTCGTGGTCGGAAATTCGCGAGACGCGATAACACAACAAACTGCTCGCTCCTTTGCAGAAGTGTGGCATGAAAGAAAAGTCATCGTCGAACTGTCAAAATCTGGGGATTTCGTTGCCAACTGCGAAACGAAAAAGTTACTTTTGAAATTTTCGCGTTATTTAACAACGAAATACGATTAATACGTTCTTATAAGCTTAATAAACATAATTAAATAAGGTAAGTAATTTATTTACTACAATAAAACAGTTTCGATTAATTTTTTTAACGAAAACTTAGGTATCTTTAAGTTGGCAGTACTAATTGACAGATTTGTATAATTCGAGCGGGTAATTTGAATGTTTGAGCGATTCCATTACAATGCGGTAATTAATAAACTGAATTTCGAATAATTATGGTACATTCATTAATTACAATTCATACGAATACTAAAATTCGCGATAATATTCTTTCGCGAGTCACGACTATCCCAATACCACATACCACTTAAAGTAAAGGCCACGGAATTTGAGGTTATGTTTTATATTAAAGTTTTGAAGTCAATTTTAAACGATAATTATTTAAAAAACAGCGATTATTATAATGACTTTCAATGCCAGAAGACTAAATAAAGAAGATTTAGATTTACCATGTCAGGAATTGGCTATATATTTACTGGGCAAAGTGTTGGTTCGAAAACTGGAAGACGATACAATATTAAAAGGAAGAATTGTGGAAACTGAGAGTTACTTAGGAGGTAAATTAAATTTCCTGTATAATTAACGAAATATATAAAATACTTATTAAGGGTTTATTGTAGGAGAAGACAAAGCATCCCATTCATTTAACGGCAGGTACGAGGGTAGGGTGAAAAGTGAAAAGTTCTCTCATGGAATCATTTTTAGAACTGTCTAGAACAATCTAGAACGCTCCAGATTCAATTGGAACTATCTAGAACTATTTAGAACGCTCCGGAATCGTTTAGAACTGTCTACAATAATTTAGAATGCTTCAGAACCATTTAGAACGCTCCGGAACCATTCAGAATGCTCCAGCATGATTTAGAACTGTCTAGCTGGATATTCTACAGTTCTGCAGGATTCTGGAGCATTCTACATCATTCCGGAATGCTCTGAACGGTTCTAGACAGTTCTAAATGGACCTATACAGTTCAGACGGAGTAGAGTTCTTTTGGTGTAATCGAAAGAGAGTAGGGTAGTGTAGATTTATAGTAAAATCAGAGTAGATTAGGAGTAGATTCAGAGTAAATTTACAATAGATTAGAGGTTCTAGACAGTTCTACATAATTCTAGAGCGTTCTGAATCATTCTGAATGGTTCTAGAATCTAGAACGGAATCATTTGAAGCTGAACCATTTGAAGCGGAATCATTTGAACCGTTTGGAACGCTCCAGAATCATTTCAAACAGTCCATATATTCATTTAGAACGCTCCAGAATCATACAGAATTAGCTTTTATGAAAATTTTAGCTCATTTTATTGAAGATTATAAAATTTCAGCGTGAAATTCCACACCCAAACCCCAGAAGAAATTATTAAAATTGGAATTTTGATGGTAGCCTAAATAAATACTGAAATTTGCAAAAACTTTCAACGAATGAATTTTTTCTTTGCAGGTAAATAAATTCCTATTGATTTGGCAACATTGCCAGCCTGTAAGTGGCTGGAGTTTAAATACTATTTTTTCTTTTGAATGCCCTTTTCAACGAAAAGAGTGGTTGGTTATGGAAATTATTGTTTTCTCAGAAAAATATTCACCATTATTAACCATTTCTATATGTTCAAAACTACGATTTTAATTCGAATAAGGATGCTAATTGTCTACAACAATTTATTTTGTCTCCAGAATAATTTAGAACTGTTTAGAATCATTTAGAACGCTCCAGAATCGTTTAGAATTGTGTTGAACCATTTAGAACGCTTCAGAACATTTTGGAACGCTCCATAGTCGTTTAGGAAGCTCCAGAATCATTTAGAACTGTCTAGACTAATTCAGAACCCTTCAGAATCATTTAAAACTGTTTAGAATCATTTAGAATGCTCCAGAATCGTTTAGAACTGTCTTAAACAATTTAGAACGCTTCAGTACCTTTTAGAACGCTCCATAGTCGTTAAGGAAGGTCCAGAATCATTTAGAACTGACTAGAATCATTCAGAACCCTTCAGAATCATTTAGAACTGTCTTAAACAATTTAGAACCTTTTAGAACGCTCCGTAGTCGTTTAGGAAGCTCTAGAATCATTTAGAACTGAACCGTTCAGAATAATTAAAAAATGTTTAGAATCATTTAGAATGCTCCAGAATCATTTAGAACTGTCTTGAACCATTTAGAACGCTCCAGAAAATTTAGAAAGCTCCAGGATCATTTAAAATTGTCTAAAACCATCTAGAATGCTCTAGAATCAATTAGTACTATTTAGAACCATTTAGAATGCTCCAGAATCATTTAGAACTGTGTAGAACCATCTAGAACGCTCCAGAACCATTCAGAACCGTCTCGAACTAAACATTTCTACTTAACAAGAAAAATAACGCAATTTTTCCAACCGAAAATCGCCAGTCTTTTATCTCCAAACCGAGAACTTTTCACTTCACCCTCGTACCGTTGCCATACAAACCCCACAAAAAAAAAAAAAAAAAAAATGTATTTTTTTAAAGGCGAACGAGCTCCAACGAGCCCATGTACATGCCGGTAGGAACTTGTTACGTTTATTTCACCTACGGGATGTATCACTGTTTCAACATTTCATCCAGAGAATCCGGAGCGGCCGTTTTATTAAGAGCCCTGGAACCTTTCCAGGGTGTAGAAATTATGGAGAAATTCAGATGTATCTACGATCGAAACGAAAACTTATACATACATATACAGGGTGTTTGATTAATTGAGTGGCGATAGTTCAGGATGTGAATGTTTGGATGATTTTAAAAGAAGAAAAGTTTATATCGATTTATGTCATAAATCTCATAGTTTTCGAGCTACAGGGTGTTACAATTTTAGAGAAAAGGATTTTTAATTATTAAGGAGGAGTTTTTGAGGCGAAATATTACGATACTAGAATTATTTAGAACAGGTTCAAAATTATTTGGAACGGTCCAAGATAAACGAGAACTGTCCAGGATCAATTAGATCCATTTTAGAACATACTAAGAGCATTAAAAACAGTTCAAAACGATGTTAGGAATTATTTAGAACTGATTCAAGACTATTTGGAACGGTCCATTTTAAACTAAAACTGTCCAGGATCATTTAGAACCATTTTAGAACTGACTAAGACCACCAAAAACAGTTCAAAACGATACTAGATTCATTTAGAACAGGTTCAATACTATTTGGAACGGTTCAAGATAAACAAGAACCGTTCAAGACCATTTAGAACCATTTTAGAACCGATTAGGAGAATCAATAATAGTTCAAAACGATTCTAGAATAATTTAGAACAGGTTCGAGATTATTTGGAACGGCCCAAGATAAACCAGAACTATTCAGGGTTATTTAGAACAATTTTAGAACCGACTAGGAGCATTAAAAACAGTTCAAAACGTTGCTAGAATCATTTAGAACAGGTTCAAAACTATTTGGAACGGTCCAGGACAAACTAAACAGTCCAGAACAATTTAATTTTTCACATTCTCCAGAATCATTTAGAACTCTCTAGAATCATTTAGAACCATTTTTAACCACTCGATTAATGAACACCCCGTATATTTATTATTAATTCATTACTAACGATGATTTTTTCTTCTTTTTTTTTTAGCCAACAGGAACAAATCGAAGCAGGCGGTCCGTAAAAAAATAAAAACATCGAAATTGTGCGATGGTCCTTCGAAATTGTGCATATCATTCGACATCACCAAAGAAAATTCCAATAAAATCGATCTGACCGATCCGGAAAATGATTCTTTGTGGCTCGAAGACGATCCGGATCATCCGGATTGGGATAGAAAAGAGATGAAGATCGTAAAAAGCGCGAGAATTGGGATAAATAGAGCGGAAGAATGGAATTCGAAGCCTCTAAGATTCTACGTTTTGAACAACGAGAGCGTCAGCAAAAGGGACAAAATGGCCGAAATGATGATTGAAGATGATGAAAATGTCAATAAAAATGATTATTAATTCGTTTTTTTTTATAAAAAAAATTATTGAATCGATTTTGAAAATGATTCTAGAGCGTTCTAAACAGTTCTAATAGATTCTGGAGCGTTCTTATTGATTATGAAGCGTTCTGAATGGTTCTAGACAGTTCTAAAATGATTCTGAAGATATCTAAACAACGATAGAAACGAGAAGAAGATCGTAAAGAGAGTGAGAACTGGGATAAATAGAATAAAAGGGACAAAATGGCCGAAAAGGATGATCGAAGATGATGAAAATGTCGAGTAAAATGATGATTAATTCGGTTTTTTCATATAAAAATTATTGAACCGATTTCGAAAATTATTCTAGAGCTTTCTAAATGGTTTTAATAGATTCTGAAGCGTTCTAAAGTGACTATAGAGAGTTCTAAATGATTCTGGAGCTTTCTAAACAACTATGGAGCGTTCTAAATGGTTCTGAAGCGTTCTGAATGGTTCTAGACATTTCTAAAATGATTCTGAAGATATCTAAACAACGATAGAAAAGAGATGAAGATCGTAAAAAGCGCGAGAATTGGGATAAATAGAGAGGAAGAATGGAATTCGAAGCCTCTAAAATTCTACGTTTTGAACAACGAGAGCGTCAGCAAAAGGGACAAAATGGCCGAAAGGATGATTGAAGATGATGAAAATGTCAATAAAAATGATGATTAATTCGTTTTTTTTTATAAAAAAAATTATTGAATCGATTTTGAAAATGATTCTAGAGCGTTCTAAACAGTTCTAATAGGTTCTAGAGCGTTCTAAATTGTTCTAATAGATTATGAAGCGTTCTAAACGTTTCTGAAGCGTTCTAAATGGTTCTAGACAGTTCTAAAATGATTCTGAAGATATCTAAACAACGATAGAAAAGAGATGAAGATCGTAAAAAGCGCAAGAATTTGGATAAATAGAGCGGAAGAATGGAATTCGAAGCCTCTAAGATTCTACGTTTTGAACAACGAGAGCGTCAGTAAGAGGGACAAAATGGCCGAAAGGATGATTGAAGATGATGAAAATGTCAATAAAAATGATGATTAATTCGTTTTTTTTTATAAAAAAAATTATTGAATCGATTTTGAAAATGATTCTAGAGCGTTCTAAACAGTTCTAATAGGTTCTAGAGCGTTCTAAATTGTTCTAATAGATTATGAAGCGTTCTAAACGTTTCTGAATCGTTCTAAATGGTTCTAGACAGTTCTAAAATGATTCTGGAGCTATCTAAACAACGATAGAAACGAGATAAAGATCGTAAAAAGCGCGAGAATCGGGATAAATAGAGCGGAAGAATGGAATTCGAAGCCTCTAAGATTCTACGTTTTGAACAACGAGAGCGTCAGCAAAAGGGACAAAATGGCCGAAATGATGATCGAAAATGATGAAAATGTCGAGTAAAATGATGATTAATTCGGTTTTTTCATATAAAAATTATTGAACCGATTTCGAAAATTATTCTAGAGCTTTCTAAATGGTTTTAATAGATTCTGAAGCGTTCTAAAGTGACTATAGAGAGTTCTAAATGATTCTGGAGCGTTCTAAATGATTCTGAGTCATTCTGAATGGTTCTGGAGCATTCTAAATGGTTCTGGAGGGTTCTAAATGGTTCTGGATCGTTATGAATGGTTCTGGAGCATTCTAAATGGTTCTGGAGCGTTCTAAATGTTTCTAGAGCGTTCTAGATGTTTCTGGAGCGTTCTAAATGGTTCTGGATCGTTCTAATGATTATGGAGAGTTCTAAAATGATTCTGACCAAGAACTTTTATATATTAAACAACGAGAGCGTAAGCAAAAGGGACAAAATGGCTGAGAGGATGATCGAATATGATGAAAATGCCGAGTAAAATGATCAATTTGATGATCTATAATGATCTTAATGATCGATTTGTTTTTTTTTTAATTTAAAAATTACTTAACCGATTTGGAAACTGATTCGTTTTGCAGCTCGAAGATGACCCGGAATACGATAAAAACAAACAAACAAATGGTTCTGAATGGTTCTAGACAGTTTTAAATGATCCTAGAGCGTTCTAATTGGTTCTGAATGATTCTAGATAGTTTTAATTGATTCAGAATTCTTCTAAAGTGACTATGGAGTGTTCTAAATTGTCTAGACAATTCTAAATGACTATGGAGCATTCTAATTGATTCTGAAGCGTTCTGAATGGTTCTAGATAGTTCTAAATGATTCTGGAGCTTTCTAAAATGTTCTGAAGCGTTCTAAATGCTTCAAAGACAGTTCTAAATGATTCAGTTCGAGAACATTTTACCTATTAAACAACGACAGCGTGAGCAAAAGGGACTCGTTGAAAAGATGCTCGAAGATAATAAATAATAAAAATACCAAGCAAATAATGATAATCAATTTATTTTCTTATAAAAAATTACTTTAGAATTTCATCCGATAAATAAATACGAGCGGTGTGTTTTAACAAAATGGAACGAAAAAAAAAATAAAAAAAAATAAAACGAATCGATTGTTATAAACAAGAAGAAGCCTCTCGAGCAACTACTTTTACACTCCTAATGGATTATTTTATACACTAAGAGCGCTTTCGCACGGTGCAATATATTGCATAAATATTGCATTGCAGTTAAATTACAAACGTAGTTTTCGAAAAAAATGCAATATATTGCATAAATATTGCATTACAGTTAAAATACTAACGTAGTTTTCGAAAAACTGCAATAAATTGTTGCAATATATTGCATAATTATTGCATTGTAGTCAAATTACAAACGTAGTTTCGATAAAATGCGATAAATTGCATAAATATTCCATTTCAGTTAAATTACAAGCGTAGTTTTCGAAAACCTGCAATAAAATGATGCAATAAATTCCTGCAATATATTGCACCGTCGCAAAACGCTCCAAAAGGCTGTGAGATGTAAAATATTTACAATGATTTTTTTTTATTAGATATTCGTTCGTGTTGTATCTACAAGGAAAAAAATTTCGATCTAAGAATTGACCGAATTTCACAATTCAAAAACGTTAAATTAATTTTTTAATCCTAAGACATACAAATTTTTAATTTGGAACGAAGAATCGCAAATTATTTTTACACATCGTCGAGGACGATTTTCCTTCGAAACGTACGAGGGCGGATCGAAATGTTCGAAGAAAAAATGCTGGAGAATAAAAAAAAAACCGCCCTCTGCGATCTTACGCGATTTTATAAAAAAAAAAAAAGCAACGTGTGTTTACAAAACAAATACGCATCATAACAAGTTATATAACTTCAACAGTATATTTTTATGTATTCAACAGCGCCTGAAAAAAAAAATTAAATCTTTGAAATCTCAATAAAATTCGATAGCCCATTTTGAAACGCAAACAACAAAAGTTTAGTTAGAAGTTAGAATGAAAATAGTTTTTAGTTTAAAAAAAAAATGGAAAAACAAAAACCGAACCACTTTCTCGCATTGAACTGGGCGAATACGAGAGTAGGATGAAAAGTTCTCGGCCTGAATCATCTCTAGAACTGTCTGGAACGATCCAGAATCATTTAGAACTGTCTAGGACAATCTAAAAGGCTCCAGATTCGCTTAGAACTGTTTAAAACCATTTAGAACAGTTTAGAATCATTTTGAACTGTCTAGAACCATTTAAAAGGCTCCAGATTCACTTAGAACCGATTCAGGATGTTCTAGAATCACTTAGAACCGTCTAGTACCATTTGGAAGTGTCTAGAATCGTTTAGAACGCTTCAAAATTATCTAGAACTGTCTAGGACTATTTAGTCACGCTCCAGAATAATTAAGAACTGTCTAGAACCATTTAGACTGCTCCTGAATCGTTTAGAACTGTCCGGAACAATTCAGAACGCCCCGGAATCGATTAGAACCGTCCCGAACTAAATAATTCGACTTAATAAGAAGAACAAAGTAATTTTTTCAAAACTAAAAAACGTCGGGAGAAACGAGAACTATTCACCTTACCCTCGTAAAATCCCACACACCCCTCCCTCCCCAAGACCGATTCTTACTGTATAAATTTTATTTTATTAATAGCAACAACAAACGTTATTAGTTCAAAAAAAAAAAAATAATATTAATAATAATAATAATAAAAAATAAAAGAGAAAAACAAACTCAATCAGTCAATATACAGAGTAATCATCTCGGGCTACAATATCGACACCCGTTCGTATCGCCGCGCTACTACGAGATAACTCGTAGTCGATTAACTTTCCGTTCCAGGACACCGCACTACGAGATAACTCGTAGTCAATTCACGTTCTGGACCCTCGAAAGCTGCGCAACGAGTTATCTCGTAGGCAACTCGAGTTCTGTCCCAGGACGCCGCACTACGAGTTATCTCGTAGTCGAGTAACTTTCTACCGAGTAACCCGGGACACGCAGCGCTACGAGATAACTCGTAGTCAACTCGCGTTCTGGTCCGGGAAACCACACTACGAGTTATCTCGTAGTCGAGTAACGTTCTGGCTCGAGACGCAGCGCTACGAGATAACTCGTAGTTAACTCGCGTTCTAGTCCGGGACGCCGCACTACGAGTTATCTCGTAGTCGAGCAACTTTTTGTCCCAGGACGCTGCACTACGAGTTATCTCGTAGTCGATTTCTCGCCCGAGACGCCGCACTACGAGATAACTCGTAGTCAACTCGCGATCCAGTCCGGGAAGCCACACTACGAGTTATCTCGTAGTCGAGTAACGTTCTGTCGCGGGACGCAGCGCTACGAGATAACTCGTAGTTAACTCGCGTTCTTGTCCGGGACCCCGCACTACGAGATAACTCGTAGTCAAGCAACTTTCTGTCCCAGGACGCCGCGCTACGAGATAACTCGTAGTTAACTCGCGTTCTGGTCCAGGACGCCGCACTACGAGTTATCTCGTAGTCGAGTAACGTTCTGTCGCGGGACGCAGCGCTACGAGATAACTCGTAGTTAACTCGCGTTCTGGTCCAGGACGCCGCACTACGAGTTATCTCGTAGTCGAGTAACGTTCTGTCGCGGGACGCAGCGCTACGAGATAACTCGTAGTTAACATGCGTTCTTGTCCGGGACCCCGCACTACGAGATAACTCGTAGTCAAGCAACTTTCTGTCCCAGGACGCCGCGCTACGAGATAACTCGTAGTTAACTCGCGTTCTGGTCCAGGACGCCGCACTACGAGTTATCTCGTAGTCGAGTAACGTTCTGTCGCGGGACGCAGCGCTACGAGATAACTCGTAGTTAACTCGCGTTCTAGTCCGGGACGCCGCACTACGAGTTATCTCGTAGTCGAGCAACTTTTTGTCCCAGGACGCTGCACTACGAGTTATCTCGTAGTCGATTTCTCGCCCGAGACGCCGCACTACGAGATAACTCGTAGTCAACTCGCGATCCAGTCCAGGACGCCGCACTACGAGTTATCTCGTAGTCGAGTAACGTTCTGTCGCGGGACGCAGCGCTACGAGATAACTCGTAGTCGAGCAACTTTCTGTCCCAGGACGCTGCGCTACGAGATAACTCGTAGTCGATTAACTTTCTGTTCCAGGACGCCGCGCTACGAGATAACTCGTAGTTAACTCGCGATCCAGTCCGGGAAGCCACACTACGAGTTATCTCGTAAACGAGTAACGTTCTGTCCCAGGACGCCGCGCTACGAGATAACTCGTAGTTAACTCGCGTTCTGTCCCGGGACGCCGCACTACGAGTTATCTCGTAGTCGATTTCTCGCCCGTGACGGCGCACTACGAGATAACTCGTAGTCAACTCGCGATCCAGTCCGGGAAGCCGCGCTACGAGTTATCTCGTAGTCAACACAACGACGATTCGACGGGTTAGAAAACCAAAAAAACAAAAAAGAAAAACTAAAAAAAAAATTAATAATTCTAAAAGTACACCAAAGCAACTAATTCGTTTCTTCTCGTCACATCGTATATATACACTCAAACAAAAAAAAAAGAAAAAACGCGCCATTTAAAAAAAAAAAAATAAAAAACAAACAAATCCCGCATCATCATCATCATCACATCAACATCATCATCACTTCAAACACCTATCGAAGTAAACGCCGCCAACGTACCCGCCTCTCATGGCCTTCTGGACGTTCTGTTCGAACAATCTCCGATTGTTCGTCAACACTTCTGCGGCCTCTTTGTTCAACGGATCCTCCGGATTGGGTTCGAGGAACAAATACTGCAAACCGTAGACGATGCTGTTGATGGTCAGGACGGGTTTCCAGTCCTCTCGAAGAATGTTCAAACAGACGTTGCCCTGTTGATCGATGTTCGGATGATAGACTTGCGTTTCGCATTTCACTTTGGGTGGTTCGTGCGGATAGTTCGGACCGACTTTGAAGCTGAACACGAACCGGCCGGTTTTGTAGAAACCCTATGAAGTTGAAAAACAAGCGGTTAATTTTTTAGACTGGTTTTGTAGAAACCCTGTTGGGTAGATAACAAGCGGTTAATTTTTTGGATCGGTTTTGTAGCCTAAACTGACATAAACTGACTTGTCATTTGTATGAAAAACTTTGTTGTAAAAACATTTGTATGAAATCGTTGACAGTGATGCCAACGTTAAAACACAACACCCTATCAAGTTGATCAGTGGTTGAACAAGTGGTTAATTTTTTAGACTGGTTTTGTAGAAACCCTATTGGGTAGATAACAAGTGGTTAATTTTTTAGACTGGTTTTGTAGAAACCCTGTTGGGTAGATAACAAATGGTTAATTTTTTAGACTGGTTTTGTAGAAACCCTGTTGGGTAGATATCAAATGGTTAATTTTTTAGACTGGTTTTGTAGAAACCCTACCAAGTGGATAACAAGCGGTTAATTTTTTAGACTGGTTTTGTAGAAACCCTGTTGGGTAGATATCAAATGGTTAATTTTTTAGACTGGTTTTGTAGAAACCCTGTTGGGTAGATAACAAATGGTTAATTTTTTAGACTGGTTTTGTAGAAACCCTGTTGGGTAGATATCAAATGGTTAATTTTTTAGACTGGTTTTGTAGAAACCCTATCAAGTTGATAACAAGCGGTTAATTTTTTAGACTGGTTTTGTAGAAACCCTGTTGGGTAGATATCAAATGGTTAATTTTTTAGACTGGTTTTGTAGAAACCCTATCAAGTTGATAACAAGCGGTTAATTTTTTAGACCGGTTTTGTAGCCTAAACTGACATGACATTTGTATGACAACTTGAAATCGTTGACAGTGATGTCAACGTTAAAACACAACACCCTATCAAGTTGATAAGTGGTTGAACAAGTGGTTAATTTTTTAGACTGGTTTTGTAGAAACCCTGTTGGGTAGATATCAAATGGTTAATTTTTTAGACTGGTTTTGTAGAAACCCTGTTGGGTAGATAACAAATGGTTAATTTTTTAGACTGGTTTTGTAGAAACCCTGTTGGGTAGATATCAAATGGTTAATTTTTTAGACTGGTTTTGTAGAAACCCTGTTGGGTAGATAACAAATGGTTAATTTTTTAGACTGGTTTTGTAGAAACCCTGTTGGGTAGATAACAAATGGTTAATTTTTTAGACTGGTTGTGTAGAAACCCTGTTGGGTAGATATCAAATGGTTAATTTTTTAGACTGGTTGTGTAGAAACCCTGTTGGGTAGATAACAAATGGTTAATTTTTTAGACTGGTTTTGTAGAAACCCTGTTGGGTAGATATCAAATGGTTAATTTTTTAGATCGGTTTTGTAGAAACCCTATCAAGTTGATAACAAGTGGTTAATTTTTTAGACTGGTTTTGTAGAAACCCTGGTGGGTAGATAACAAATGGTTAATTTTTTAGACTGGTTTTGTAGAAACCCTATCAAGTTGATAACAAGCGGTTAATTTTTTAGACCGGTTTTGTAGCCTAAACTGACATGACATTTGTATGACAACTTGAAATCGTTGACAGTGATGCCAACGTTAAAACACAACACCCTATCAAGTTGATAACAAATGGTTAATTTTTTAGACCGGTTTTGTCATAGATCTATTAAGTATGGACGCGGCTTTATCCGTATTTTGAGGTTATTCAGCGTTCCCAATGATAGAGAGAGAGAGGTTCGTGAGAGATGGAGCTAGTTTGGGCTAAAAGTAGGCGGGACCCAAAAATATATAAAATATATACAGGGTGCGTGAAAAAAAGGCTATTAATCTGTTAAATTATTTGTACGCTTAATATTTAAATATTGTTTTTATCTTGGTATCCACTTGTACAGAAGAATGACCAGGAAGAAACATATTTTTTACAAGAGAAAGCATCTAGGTCTTAAATTGCGAAATCTGTACTGGTTGATAGGTAGGATGTTCCAATTAACAATACAAAATAAGAACTGTATTTGCAAATGCGTGGGAATTTAGGCTCAGCTAAAAAATGCATTTTCCTCGGTAAAAAAATAATAAATCCTCAACCATATTCTACCATAAGCTACACTCCTCTACCCCAACTACCTTGCATTACTGAAAACGTAACTCACGTGGTCTTTTGCTTTCTTACTATTGGCTAATGCATTGTCCAATCTCTCATTACCATATGCCCAAACTAGCTGCATCTCTCTCAATCATCGACAACACTACCTCTTTGTCTAAATCGCGTCCATAGTTAATAGGTCTATGGGTTTTGTAGAATCCCTATCAAGTTGATAACAAGTGGTTAATTTATTGGACCGGTTTTGTAGCCTAAACTGACATGACATTTGTATGACAACTTGAAATCGTTGACAGTGATGCCAACGTTAAAACACAACACACTATCAAGTTGATAAGTGGTTGAACAAGTGGTTAATTTTTTAGACTGGTTTTGTAGAAACCCTACCGAGTGGATAAGAAGCGGTTAATTTTTTATCGTACGATCGAAATTGACAAGAGGGGGGGATGTAGGGTTTAAACAGCGTTTAGGGGATGTAATGTACGAGGGTTAAAGGTTGGATTTAGGACTGTCCAGGATCGTTTAGAACTATTTTATAACCGATTGGGAGCATCGAAAACAGATCAAAACGATGCCAAAATCATTTAGAACAGATTCGAGACTATTTGGAACGATCCAAGATAAACTAGAACTGTCCAGGATCATTTAGAAACTGCTCCACAAAAAGTTAAGGAAGTTTCGCATATTTTGCGATTATTTTCAAAGTTACAGACTTTTTGATCCCCAAATTTTCAAATATGCGAAATTCAATGTTTTCTCTTATATCTGAGTGGATTTTTTTACCCTTCATCTACAACTCATACTAAATTAGGCGATCAAAAAACCTGTAACTTTTAAATTAATCTCAATATTTGTGAACTTCCTTAACTTTTGTGGAGCAGTATATTTTAGAACCGATTAGGAGCATCAAAACCAGTTCAAAACGAGTGCTAGAATCATTTAGAACAGGTTCAAGACTATTTGGAACGGTCCAAGATAAACTAGAACTATCCAGGATCATTTAAAACCATTTTAAATCCGATTAGGAGAATAAAAAATAGTTCAAAACGATGCTAGAGTCATTTAGAACAGATTCAAGACTATTTGGAACGGTCCATGATAAACTAGAATTGTTCAGGATCATTTAGAACCATTTTAGAACCGATTAGGAGCATCAAAAACAGTTCAAAACTATGTTAGGAATCATTTAGAACAGATTCAAGACTATTTGGAACGGTCCAAGATAAACAAGAACCGTTCAGGATCATTTAGAACCGATTAGGAGCTCAAAAAACAGTTCAAAACGATACTAGATTCATTTAGAACAGGTTCAAGACTATTTGGAACGATCCAAGATAAACTAGAACTGTTCGGGATGATTTAGAACCGACTAGGAGAATCAAAAACATTTAAAAACGATTTAGAACATCATTTAAAACAGATTTAAACTATTTGTAACAGTTCAAGATAAACTAGAACAGTTCATGATCGTTTAGAACAATTTTAGAACCGATTATGAGCATTAAAAACAGTTCAAAACGATTCTAGAATCATTTAGAACAGATTCGAGACTATTTGGAACAGTTCAAGATGAACTAGAACTGTTCAGGATCGTTTAGAACAATTTTAGAACCGACTAGGAGCATCTAAAATAGTTCAAAACGATGCTAGAACCATTCAGAACACTCCAGAATCATTTCTAACGCTCCATAGTTATTTAGAACGTTCCAGAATCAATTAGAACTGTTTAGAGAACGCCCCCGGAATCATTTCGAACTGTCTCGAACCAAACATTTCGACTTACTACAAAGAATAATGTAATTATTCAATCGAAAATCGCTATCTATCGTCGTCAGATCGAGAGATCTTTTCACCTTACCCTCGTAAATTACATTTAGAGCATTGTTCTAATGCCACAAACACAATGAAATATTTTACCTCGTCTGGACAAATGACCAGTTTGAACGTTAACAGATCGTCGGGATCGGGAAATTCCGTGGCGCACGTTTTGGGTAGATTCAATTCGTTTATATCTAAAAAAAAAAAGAAAAAAATGTGGGAACGATAGAATTTAGAAATTCGTTGGAAATGATGCGGAAAAACTCGAACCTTTTGTGATCCTCAATTGTGCAGCTGACGCTTTCTTTTGATTGCCCTGTCGCGGTGTCGATTCGCCATCTTTCTTTTGTTGTTTCAGCGAAAATAATTTTATCATATTTGTGTTAGACGGTTTTCGTTCACTCCAGTTTTTCAAATTAACATTAGAAACTTACTAATTTTTTTTAACGTGTTTATTATGCAAAATATTATCCTTCGACGGACTTTTTGACGCCTGTCATCTGTCAAACCGTCATTGTCTACGGTGCTGCTTTGGGACAAAGGTCGGTCGCTTTTCGTACTAAAATGACAGGTAATTCGCAAATAATTAATCAAATGTAATCTTCTTATTAAATGAGAAACTAAATAATTCCACGGAAACAATGCTAACTAAAAAATGTACGTACCATATTTAAATGTTGGCTATCTTTGTTATTGACCAATCACGTCTGGATTGGTGGACATCCGTGTCAAAATACTCCCTTCCGATTGGTCGAAAACGAAGAGGCTAGGCATTTTTTCGCGTACATTACCAAATTATTTCGTCCCGTACGCGAATAATTCCACTTTCTATCGCATTTAAACGATATTTTCGATAAATCCAGCTCCTTTCTAAACAAAAAAACCCGGTTAAATAATTTCGATATCGATCGAGTACGTCAAAGGCGGCCTTCACCTGTCACTTACGTCACTTTCGTCTCCTGTCAAATTTCGAGTTCCGTCGTGCATCGTGCGCGAGTTACCGGAGCATCGAGGAAGAAATAATAAAAATTATTTTGTCGTATTCGTTTTAGGCGTGAAAAAAAAAACCCGAAAAAGGCGGACGAGCGACAAGCCGACAAAATGGAAACTAGAAAACTAATAGATTTACTTCGGGCCACTATCGAGCCCAACCAACGACAGCAAGCCGAAGTTCAATTAGATCAGGTAAATCGAAAAACCATGCGGTCTCGTATTTTTGCCATTACAATTCGAAATATTCGATTGATTACTCGTCATTTACCATTAAATGTACCATTAAACGTACCATTTAATCGCATATTATGCATTATATCCATTTTAATCTATTAATGAGACGTCGAGACATGGAAAGAGAAGTTACTTTCATATGTTACCACATTGTTAATATTACATTGAAAATTAATTGATAAAAAAATGTATAGGAATAACATTTATACCAGATAATGAATTGTAAGTATGCGAGTAGCTTCAAAAATTACCACAAATTTCGATACGAGGGTTAGGTGAAAAGTTCTCGGCTAGACAACTTCTGGACCGTTCTAAATGATTCCGGAGCGTTCTAGACAGTTTTAAATGATACTGGAGCGTTCTAAATGGCTCTGGGGCGCTCTAAATAGTTCTAAACCACCCCGGAGCGTTCTAGATCATTTCTAGATAGTCCTAAATGATTCAGAATTCAGAAAGTTCGAGAACTTTCCACCTTTCTCGCCCTCGTACAAATTAATTAATCGATTAATTAGCGTTCTAGACCGCTCTAAAAGATACTAAAGCGTTCTAAACGATTTTAAAACGTTTTAAGTGATTCCTGGAGCGTTTTTAAATGATACAGAAGCGTTCTAAAAGATTCTGGAGCGCTCTAAACAGTTCTAATTGCTTCTGGAGCGTTCTAAGTGATATTGGACCATTCTATATGATTCTGGAGCATTCTGAATGATTCTAGAGCGCTCTAAACAGTTATAATTGCTTCCGCATCGTTCCGAACGATTCTAGACAGTCCTAAAATCCTTCCGGAACGTTCCACATCGTCCACATTCCAAACGATACGCGATAATTTAACAACGTTTTAATTTTCCAAATTTTCGCATATCCACAAAATTATCGGTTTCGCCTCTTTTTAAACAATTGTAATTGATTCTGGAACATTCTGAATGATTCTAAAGCATTCTAAATGATTCTGGGGCATTCTGAATGATTCTAAAGCATTCTAAATGATTCTGGGGCATTCTGAATGATTCTAAAGCATTCTAAATGATTCTGGGGCATTCTGAATGATTCTGGAGCGTTCTGAATGTTTCTGAACGTTTCTAAATGATTGTAGAGCGCTCTAAACAGTTCTAATTGCTCCCGGATCGTTCCGAAAGATTCTAGACAGTCCTAAAATCCCCATTCTTCATCCACAAAATCATCGGTTTCGCCCCGTTCTAAACAGTTCCAATTGATTCTGGAGCGTTCTGAATGATTCAGAAGCAGTCTAAATACTACAGAAGCGTTCTAAATGGTTCTGGAGCGTTCTAAATGATTCTGAATTATTCTCAATGATACAGAAGCGTTCTAAACGATTCTGAAGCTTTCTGAATAATTCTGGAGTATTCTAAATGATACAGAAGCGTTCTAAATGATTCTGGAGCATTCTGAATGATTCTGAAGCTTCCTGAATGATCCTGGAGCATTCCAAATGATCCAGAAGCGTTCTAAACGATTCTGAAGCTTTCTGAATAATTCTGGAGTATTCTAAATGATACAGAAGCGTTCTAAATGATTCTGGAGCATTCTGAATGATTCTGAAGCTTTCTGAACGATCCTGGAGCATTCCAAATGATCCAGAAGCGTTCTAAACGATTCTGAAGCTTTCTGAATAATTCTGGAGTATTCTAAATGATACAGAAGCGTTCTAAATGATTCTGGAGCATTCTGAATGATTCTGAAGCTTCCTGAATGATCCTGGAGCATTCCAAATGATCCAGAAGCGTTCTAAACGATTCTGAAGCTTTCTGAATAATTCTGGAGTATTCTAAATGATACAGAAGCGTTCTAAATGATTCTGGAGCATTCTGAATGATTCTGAAGCTTCCTGAATGATCCTGGAGCATTCCAAATGATCCAGAAGCGTTCTAAACGATTCTGAAGCTTTCTGAATAATTCTGGAGTATTCTAAATGATACAGAAGCGTTCTAAATGATTCTGGAGCATTCTGAATGATTCTGAAGCTTTCTGAACGATTCTGGAGCATTCCAAATGATACAGAAGCGTTCTAAATGTTTCTGAAGCGTTCTGAATGATTCTGGACCATTCTAAATGATACAGAAGCTCTCTAAACAGTTCTAATTGCTTCCGGATCGTTCTGAACGATTCTAGACAATCCTCATTCCTCATTCCCCATCAAACGACGCTTTAATTTATCCGAATTCATCCGCAGATCCACAAAATCATCGGTTTCGCCACGTTCTAAACAGTTCTAATTGATTCTGAAGCTTTCTGGATGATTCTGGAGCGTTCTAAATGATTCTGGAGCGTTCTAAATGATTCTGGAGCATTCTAAATAGTATAGAAGCGTTCTAAATGATTCTGGAGCATTCTGAATGATTCTGAAGCTTTCTAAATGATTCTGGAGCATTCTGAATGATTCTGGAGCGTTCTAAATGATTCTGGAGCGTTCTGAATGATTCTGGAGCGTTCTGAATGTTTCTGAACGTTTCTAAATGATTGTAGAGCGCTCTAAACAGTTCTAATTGCTCCCGGATCGTTCCGAAAGATTCTAGACAGTCCTAAAATCCCCATTCTTCATCCACAAAATCATCGGTTTCGCCCCGTTCTAAACAGTTCTAATTGATTCTGGAGCGTTCTGAATGATTCAGAAGCATTCTAAATACTACAGAAGCGTTCTAAATGGTTCTGGAGCGTTCTAAATGATTCTGAATTATTCTAAATGATACAGAAGCGTTCTAAACGATTCTGGAGCGTTCTAAATGATTCTGGAGCGTTCTAAATGATTCTGGAGCATTCTAAATAGTACAGAAGCGTTCTAAATGATTCTGGAGCGTTCTAAATGATTCTGAGGCTTTCTGAATAATTCTGGAGCATTCTAAATGATACAGAAGCGTTCTAAATGATTCTGGAGCATTCTGAATGATTCTGAAGCTTTCTGAATGATTCTGGAGCATTCCAAATGATACAGAAGCGTTCTAAATGATTCTGGAGCGTTCTAAATGATTCTGAAGCATTCTGAATGATTCTGAAGCTTTCTGAATGATTCTGGAGCATTCCAAATGATCCAGAAGCGTTCTAAATGATTCTGGAGCATTCTAAATAGTATAGAAGCGTTCTAAATGATTCTGGAGCATTCTGAATGTTTCTGAAGCTTTCTGAATGATTCTGGACCATTCTAAATGATACAGAAGCTCTCCAAACAGTCCTAATTGCTCCCGGATCGTTCCGAACGATTCTAGACAATCCTCATTCCTCATTCCCCATCAAACGACGCTTTAATTTATCCGAATTCATCCGCAGATCCACAAAATCATCGGTTTCGCCACGTTCTAAACAGTTCTAATTGATTCTGAAGCATTCTGAATAATTCTGAAGCTTTCTGAATGATTCTGAAGCATTCCAAATGATACAGAAGCTCTCCAAACAGTCCTAATTGCTCCCGGATCGTTCCGAACGATTCTAGACACTTTCGAAATCCTCATTCCCCATCAAACGACGATTTTAATTTATCCGAATTAATCATCCGCAGATCCACAAAATCATCGGTTTCGCCCCGTCGCTCCTGCAAATCGTCATGACGTCCGACTGTGATATGCCCGTCCGCCAAGCGGGCGCCATCTATCTCAAGAATTTGGTATCGTCGAATTGGCAGGACAAGGAGCCGGAGACGACCGGTCAGCCGGTGCCGTTTTCGTTGCACGAACAAGACAGATCGTTGATTAGAGATAGCATCGTCGATGCCGTCGTACTGGCACCGGAATTGATCCGGACGCAATTGTGCACGTGCGTCAATCACATCATCAGGCACGATTTTCCCGGCCGTTGGACGCAGATTGTCGATAAAGTGAGGTTATGTTGTTGTGGTTGTTCGGTTGTAGATTTTAGTGAAAAGACTCGACTTAAACGCTTTATTTTGCTTGCTGGTCGATGTAGCGGTAGAGTAAAAGGCCCTCTGAACGATGTAGCTTTATGTAAAAGGCCCGCTAGTGCTCTATTTGTCTTCCTATAAGCTATAACGCTCGATTTATACCTTCCTATTAGATGTAGCTTTCGAGTAAAAGGCCCCCTAAACGCTTCGTTTGGCTTGCTAGTAGATGTAGCTTCCCAGTAAGAGACCCTCTATCGCCTTATTTATGTTTCTATTCGATGTAGCTTTAAGTAAAAGACCCC